GAGATTCAGATGACCTTCTGTAGATTATTAAAGGCCGCCTCAGTTTGAAGATCTTATTTTTCAAAGATACTCATGTACAACTACACAGAGGTTTTAGCCTCCAACTATAGAACACCCTATTAAGTTTCCAAAATAGCAAATCCTATCTAGGCCAATGCTACTTTGCAAAACAAATGAAGATCTAAAGGTGGTATCTATATTATTTATAAGGGAATGGGGGTTCAAAAGATAACTGAATTTGTATTTTATTTATTTTTTTTCTATACTTTTGGTATTTAAGCTAAAGCTGAAATATTATCATCCTGTAAAGTGTAAACCAAAAGCTGAATACGTGAGCAGGATCGGAGCTCTACCGAACAGGGATTGGCAAATGCAAATGGAGCTCTGACAGTAGTGGATCCTGAACCTCCTAGCACGCCTTCTCCTGATCGCTGGCTATAGAAGGCCCACTAGGCACTGCTCCTCAATCTGAGCTGAGGGCTGCTTCTGGCTTGCAAGTTGGTGCTAACCAAGATGCATTGGCCATTGCACCAGTCGAGGAGCAAGCTTATACTGTCCAGGTACATCATATTTTACTCATGCTCATCTATTTGTCCTCTTGGATGTGATTTTGATAGTTAGATTAATCTTTCAATAAATAGAATTCCATTAGAACTCTCTCGATCATATTTGACATTCGTTCTTCTTTAAATGCATCACTACACTATATCAAAAGAAAACATTCAAAAATGGGGAGTTTTTTTTTTTTTCCTTAAATTTTCTTTAAGAAAAAAATATTCTATCTATGGTACTTCATTGCCTGGACACAACATTGACTCTGTCCAATCTCAGACTCAAATATTTTGTAAGTGATGAGGTGCTGCAGGAAAAACTTCACTTAGACGGTTAAACCAGTTTCTCCCTCCAGTTTACTCTTCTGGTTATTACTTTTATCTTTCATGATTGCAGCCTATTGGTGATATTGCTGAAAGCTTTCATGCTCTAAAGCTAAAGGATAGTGGTGTACTATACGAGGACCCTTACATACAGGGGCAGAGTCGTTTATCACATTATGGTTCGGTTTTCTGCAGCTTGCATGATACGAGCTTTTAACTGAACAGACTAATTAATTTGAAATTGGACCAAATAGAATTGTAGATTGGCGTTAAATCTGAGTGGCAAGCGCATCATGGGCGAGTTGTTCTCATCACATCTAAAGATGGAGCTCTCCTTAGTACCTGAGACTATTCCTCCGAGGGCACAGGTAGGTTGCTAATTCGTTTTTCCTATAAACAATAATCATTTAAGGCCTTGATAGTTCATGATTTAGAAAATATATGCTACATTTGCTCCTCAAGTTCAATGCCCTCTCGATATAATCAACCTCCAACCTAGTCGAGACATAGCTGTGCTGGACTTCTCATACAAGTATGCAACCCATTTGGTATGTTATGGGAACAACAATTGAAATATACGATTAGAAATGAGGAGCATTAAGGAAAAAAGAGCTGTTTCGTCATGCATAAACTTAACATATCTTCTATGACCAGGTCAACGTAAAACTCTGTCTTCCTGCTGTTCTGAACAAGTTTCCTCAGCCAATCTTGGTTTCTGCTGAGTTTTTCCCACAATGGAGATCACTCTCAGATTTTGGCAATATTTGGCTCTAGATTTTGTTTCTATTTGTTTGCAAATTTATGTAGATAGGATTAGCATAAGGACATGGTAATTTGAATCTTGCTCTGTATTATTCAGACGAGAATAGAAACAGACCCAGATGATCGAACACAATTGAGGATGACCATCGCATCAGAAGATCCTACTCTAACATTTGAGTACGTAACACGAAACTACTAAATCCACTGCATTTCACTGTTGCAGTTGCATTGATATCTGATGTTGAGCTTTCTTATGAATATGAGAATCTTACAGATTAAAAGAGTTTATCAAAGAACACTTAGTGAGCATCCCACTTCCTTTCTTGAGCACCTGTGGCCATACCTCCTCAAGCCCAACCAACCAGTCCACCGTCGACAGTAACAGATCCTCTGGCCGGTTTGCTTTGAGCGGTACTTTTTGAAGATTAAACGACAAAATCTATGTGTGTGACCATTGTTCATACAGAGCTCATCTGCCCGTGTGGCTCGTCGATTAGAAGTGGGTGGGCCCGACTATACGAAGCAAGGGCTGGCGGGTGTTAAGGCGAAAAAGATTGCAACTGTTGTGGGACTTGGCAATTAGGGTTGGAATATTTGGGGGGTTGTGTAGTTTTTATATTCCTTTTGCACTTAATTGTGCTTTTGCCGAGGTTTCATCTCTGTCAGGCGAGTTGCGAGTTTTTTTTTTTTTTTGGCGGATTTGGGGGGTTCAAAGTGCCCTGTTATATACAGAAGAAACGAAAAAAAAAAAAAAATGCGCCATTTGTAACTAATAATGAACTTGTTTGTGTGTCAGTTTATTTTTACCAGCAACATTAGCGATTGTCAGTTATGTATTTTTACCAGCAACATCAGGATGTCAGTATTCCTCGTCATCATAGTGCTGGGGGCAATACAAGCTTCTGTATCAGTGCAAAATGCCCTATTTTTTGTCTCTAAAATGGAATTTCGATCTTCTTCACAGGGACTCAAATGTACACGCACCCGTGCAGGGGTGCGTGCAAAATTATGAGATCAAGTGGTGATAAGTGCTTACAGGGGGACGATTGGCTTTTCCCTTCAAAACATAGATTCTCTTATTTGTTTAACAGCTACTTTTCACTATCCTTTGCAGCAAGCAAACCCAAAACCACTCAGTCATCAATACCTGCATCTGTCCAACCACTGGAATAAAACATTAATTTAAAAGCACTGCTAATAGTTTGAAAGTTATAAAGTATACTATTTTCCATAAAAGTAAAGAACAAATTTTAGCGGGATGCTTTCCGAAATTATCACTAATACCACACTAAATATGCCATGAAAATTAATCCACAATGCACAAATAACCACATAATAACGGAATTCTGAATCAATTAACAAAAAAAGACGATGCTACGTTGAAGCAGACAATAGACCTCAAAAACATGTGCACACACAGACACACACGCAAACGGAAAAACAGCATGAGGTACTTAACTGTAGATCATACCCCAAATGTAGCAAAATATGGTATGTCCATATGGAAACAGGAGATTTTTCAGCCAATTCACATCAAACTCGTTTTCGCTATAAAAAATAATTCACATCCAACTCGTCTCATTATAAAACCAAACCTGTCAACTATCCTACCTATATGGAGAAATGAATACAGGTTGGAGCATTCAACAACTAACATTGTATATTTACACTAACAGACAGACTGGTTATCACATAAACTAACTGAATAATTCCTTTACTAGCAACTATATAACTTTCACGAAAGAATTCAGCAAAGTGGAGTTTTGAACACACCATCACAATATCACTTGGTGAAGAGAAGTCAGGGAGATGTAGCCTCCATGTGCTGATGTGCAGAGTCGAACTCCTTCCCAATTAGCCAATTAGGAGGATAATTGCCGATGAAGTCCACATGGGACACAGTAAAAAACACAAAAATGGCACCTTCTCAAAGGCCATCCTTCATGCTCAGCTTTATGTTTTCAACTTCAATGGATAAGCATTGTTTATGGTTCTCTATATCCTTCAAAAGTGAAAGGAGGTTTGTACGATATACTTCACATTTGCGATTGGCACGCTCCAGATCCATGGAAAGTTCATTAATCTTCTGATCCATGTCACCCTACATACATTTAAAAGATTAGAGATCCTACACAAGAAGTACATTATGCAAGTTTGCAACCAATTGTAAATTCCAGCAAAAACATATAAACGACCCCCCACCAAAAAAGAAAAAAAGGAAAAAGAAAAAGAAGAAGAAAATCTGTTGATTTAGTCTTTAGGTGATACAAGACCATCAGTCCTTGAAGACAAGGATTTGCAATTACAAAGAGCCAACATGATAGCTAACTTCAATACTGCTCCAGAATATACTCGTTATTACACTTAAAACTAGTTCGATGAACTTGGCCATCACGCCATTAATTCATATATAATGTCAGAAAGGAGAACAAGTTTTCTTGTACCATATTTAGTCTATCATCTTACCGTGAAAAAGCAACATATATATTTCATTTTTGCTAAGAAGGATTTGTATAAAAATTGAGGCAACCCAAAAGAAAGAGAAACAACACATTACATTTCCACTCACAGTTTTACAATTCATCAAAAAACATTTGGGACCTAACACACAAATTAATTCCACAAAGACAAGTCTGAGACGAAGTGTGGCTCATGGTCTGGTGTACTTCACCTATGTGCTATGATTCAAGTTATAAGCAGTATTATTCAGGATAAAATATACCACACCAAAGTCTATCAAGATTTATCTCCTGGAAATCACATTACTCACTCAAGTAAAACACAAATAGCCACATAAAATTACACTCTTGAATCCGTAACGGACAATAAAACTTAAATTAGCAACTACAGAAACACCAACCTCCAATAGCTGCTGGGTCGAGCTCCCTTGACCTTCCTCACCACATTGATCCGCCCCAACTCCACCTTCACCGAACACATCTCTTGCGGGCCCATTACTCGCAAAACCCTTCCCCTCATTCCTCACCGCAAGAGCAACTTTCTTCGAGGCCTCCACCAGAGCACCAAGTGCAACATCGTATGACTCGACGGTCTCAGCCCCTTCATCAACGAATTTCAAAGCCTCATGCCGGAGTGTATTGTACCGAACAGTATGCGACTCCAAGTAACCGCTGAACGGGTCCGTAGCCCTTTCCGTCAACACTACACTACTCTTTGCATTCCTCGTCCACCTCTTCAATATGTAATGCGATGGTAGAGTGAGCACGTTGGTCACCCTGAAAACTGCCAGCACATGCCGACACAAAAATCCCGAGGACTCAAACATCCGGCAGCTGCAAGAAGCCCTCATCTCCAAAACGTTGAACCTCACACGGTACACCCTGTGGTCCTCCCCGAACTTCGCCACCCGGTAAGTGGTAACATCACTGCTCCTCTCGTCATCACCATCTTCCTCCTGGGAGGCCGTGAAGGTGAGTGTGCTCACCAGCTCTTCTTGAAACCTCGTGAATATCTTTCTCGTGTAGAACTCGGATGCCTGTTTCTCCATGGGCGAGGGGGTTTTCAAAAGGGGCGGCATGTTAATGGTGTCAAAATCCGCTTTGATCTCCTTCTCGTGACGGCTCTCTAACGCCTTCTCGTACAACTTGAAGAACTGGCTCAGGTTGGTCGACGCGTTCACGTACCCATCGAAGTATGAGTTGATGCCGTCACCGTGATGGCCAGTAGATGTCTCGGCAAAGAACGAGTCGCGGAGGTACGCTGGCACCCAGTGCCCTCGGTCAGCGTACACCGACTGGACCCACTTGTGGTCCCCAAGGCTGTACTTACCTACAAGCAAATGCCAGGCGGACTCAAACTCTTCGGATGTCTCAGGCAAGTTCACACATTTATGGAGAGCAGCTTCAAAATGGGGATTTTTTAGGAGGATGCTCGAAAGCTTCTCCTGGCACTGCTTGAAGATGTGCCATTTGCAGAACCTATGGCGTGCATTTGGGAAGACATGACTCACGGCGGACCGGATGATGGGGTCATATTCGGTAGTGATTGATAAAGGCGCGCGGGCGGACATGGCTGTCAGCCAGGTCTCAAAAAGCCACGTGAAGGAGGCCTCGGACTCATTTTTCAAGAAAGCGCACCCAAAAAGGACCGGTTGGCTGTGGTGGTTTAGGCCTGTGAAGGGTACAAAAGGCAGTCTGTACCTGTTTGACCGGTAAGTGGTGTCAAAGGTGACGGTGTCTCCAAAATGGGTGTAATCGGCTCTCGATTTCGGGTCAGCCCAGAAAACATTGCCCAAGCACTGGTCCTCATCCCCCTGAACGGCATAGAAAAAGGCAGGATCCTCGGCTTGCTTCTGCTTCAAGTAATCCAGAAGCAGTTGAATATCTCCCTCCATGCTCTTGTGTCTGTTATTTCTCATGTAATTTCGGCAGTCAACCTCCGTGAACCCAACTTTACTAATACCACCATACTCTTTAATGAGCACCGACATGATTCTGCGTGGGCCCATCCCCGCAGCCTGCAGTGTATCAATCAGAGTCTTAGCGGGCCCAGATATCTGCCGGTGGGATCTGAGGCAGTGGACCTGATCGGGAGGGACGAGCTCGTGATTGTGCTCCTTAACAAAACCGGACACAACCCATTTTCCGGAATCCTGTATCTTGACAGACATCGAGGCCTTGCAACCAACGCGTGTCACTGTGCGTGGCCTTTTGATCTCACGATCCTTTGTCCTTTTCTCATTCGGGTTACGAAAACCCTCCTTAGCGCACACAAATGATCTCTGTATGATGGCCCCATCCTTCCTGGAACGTCGGGAGGAGCTCACGCGGGTGCTGAAACCTACCCGTCTGGCAAATGAGTTATAGAACGCCTTTGCAGCCTCCTCGGATTCGAACTCCATTCCCTCATAAGGCTCGAGATCGAGATCGAGATCGAGGTCGCCCTCAGGAATGTAGGTATGGAGGGCAAAAGCAGTCTCGCTACTGCCACTACCAAAGGAATTCGCGTCATTGAGTGAGTTATCCGGAAATTGGTCCACATCATTAGGGGCTTCTATATCCATACCGTCATCTCCGACGCCCAAACCAATATCAAATTCCAACATCCCATTTTCCATGATGAATTACGGGAATTTAATTAAACGGCGATTGAACAGACAAAAATTTGGTAAAAAAAACAGCGCGGTAGCAGGAAAATTAAAATCCGACTGATTAATCTATGAACCTGTAAAATCCGACTGATTAATCTATGAACCTGTGAAGAATCTTGCCAGAAAATCATGCGGAGCTGAAAGTAGAATTCACCGCGCCGGGAACACAAAGAATCAGGCGTCAATCGGCATGAGCTGAGGAGATGAACAAACAACGTAGTCGGCCGCTAATTGGTATCTAAGGATTGTCTTATAATGGAATCGTTGTATTCTGTAAATTTCTTCGTTTTTGTGTTTGATGGTGGCGAGGGGAGTGACAGAGTGACGAAGAGATGGGGAAGGTGGATGCGGTGAGGACTGTAGATAACCATAGCCCAGTTTTAGGACTAATTTGGAATTTTGCTTTTGATGGGGGGCCTTCGCGCGAAGACACACATAAGGTGTGTGTTTAGGGGACAAAATTTCAATTTTGGTCCGCTCACTCGTCAAAAGTCTTTCTTTGTATACTAATTTTTCTCTCATAAAAAATAGTACGTTTCCGTGTAATTTGCACTAATCTGACGGACCCGGATAAAATGATGACTTGGAAAGAATCGAAAGTTGATAGGAAAGTGACATGGAAGGATACGAACCTGATTTCCTTAAATTAGTTTTACATAGCATTCAACATTTCCATTTCGCATGCCATTTCATTAAAATTGAGAAAAGAAAAAAGAAACTAAAATTGAACTTCAATCACGACACGCAAAATCCCTAATTTTACCATGATTCGAATACACCCCAAACCCAAACCTGCTGCCAAAATGTCAACAGGAGATCAAAATTTTGAAGTGTTTTGAGAAGATTGTTCTTGGAATTGGTGTTTTGAACTACAAGATGAAATTGCGAGCAAAGAAAAATGAACATCTTACCCATTTCTAGATACGGTAACTTTATATGGATTATTTTATGCGCTTTTGTAGTAAATTTGCAAAATTAAGATTTGCATATTGTGTATAAATGTACTTTTTTCATAAATAAGGTTTTGTGGGGCATTGAGCATATTGTTGAGATTAAACTATTTGTGGATGATGCAATTGTAGTCCTATTTTCTAATATGTAATTTGGTTTAAAGTATAAAGAGAGCATCAAACATGTAGTCCATATGTTTGAGAATCTTTCCTTCATTTTTGCATTGTCGGTGGTCAATGAAAAATTATTCAATTCTTAATTGCTTATGCAACCTTGAAGTCAATTTCTTACCAGATCTTTATTACGGGGTATTTTTTTACATTTGGCTAAATTACTCAACATATATTGGGAGGGAGACTGTAGTTTTAGATTACGTTGACTTTGGGGCAGTTTGTCTTGGGGACTTTAATAGTGTCGCAGAGAGGGGAGAAAAAGCCCATGAGATTCTATGTGAAAGCAAGTGGTTGCTTTGTTTTATTAAATTCAGACATAGATTTGTACATGATCTGGGATGAGAGATTGGGATGTTTTAGAGATCTAATATTTATGCAGATGAAAAGAGAGGTGTTGGAGTTGTGTCTCACGATAGTGAAGGTCAATGTGGAGGGTCAATTGGAATTGGATATATGTGATGGAGTCATTGGTGAAGATAGAGAAGAATTTGGAGATGAAAATTAGTGTGATGGGCTGAGAGATGAAATTGAAAAAGAGTGTGGATTAGTTGACGACGAAGAAGTTAATGGTGAAGAAATAAATGAGAATGAGTGTGGAGTATGAAAACAAAATGTGAATAGTGAAATAGATGATGACAATGATGAGTTGTATGAGTGAGAGTGTGACATGAGGGAAGATAAAGTAGATGATAGGTTGTTTTTTGAAAATGTTGATAGTGAAGTTGAATGGGGAGGGGATGACTCTGTGTTTGAAAATGTCGACAATTATGTTGGCATTGAGGAAGACGATAAAAATGAAGTAAATGTGGTTTACAGGGAGGATTTAGATGGTAAGAACTCTGATGAAGAGGTGGAGGGTCAAGAGTTTCTTGCTTTTAACCCAATGGACATGTATGATCCAACCTTTAAAGTAGGAATGGTATTTACTTCAAAAAAAGAACTTAGGAAAACTATTCATTTTAGGATAGTTAAATGCAAGCGAAATATAAAAACTGTAAAGAAGATCAACAGTATATCTAAGGGTAATCAATTGTGATAGTTTGTGTCCTTGTAAGATAAAATGTGAACAACCCGCCTTGCTTTTGTTAGCTTTGACAGTTGTTAAGATTAATACTAAATTTACCTTTTTGTTCTTTGGCCTCTTTCTAATTAAATAAACCAAACCCTTCTCAGCCAAAGATGTTTAAGAGGAATTTATTTTTCAAATTATTTTGAGCCTTGTCGCTAAGCATGCATAAATTTAATTGTATATTGTATTTTTCTTTTTTGTAAGATTATTTATTTTTTATCTATTTCGAATTGTAGTTGTAAGTAAGATTTGTATTATTATTTATACACACACACACACACATATATATATATATATATTGTGTCATATCATTTACTTTCAACTAATTGATGACGGAAATCTTTTCCAATATTCTTTTGTAACATGTGGTTACAGTTTCTATAGATATTTTCTTTCAAGCATAAGTTGTCAGGACTCTTCATTATAGATTTGAAAAAAAAAAAAACACTTCATGACGCGATTTTGGTTGCGCGACGGAATCATTCATCAGGGTGATTGATAATGCATAGTGGAAGATGAATGTGTTGATTTTTTTTTTTTTTCAATTTGTTACTTTTTATGTAAATCAATTTTTTTGTTATTCTTTCATCACAGACTGCATAGTAGGTTGATGTGTTCAAGTATAATATGATTAGTAGGCTTGTAATGCTTCACTTGTCAATACAAGTTGTCCAATAAACTGTAAGTGTGTGTTATCACTATATCTGAACATAATCCAAAATTTCGCCAAATCTTTTTCATTCAAAACTAATGAAATGCCTCGCCTCTCTAACTTGATTACACAAGATTAATGTCTTTACGATGACCGTTGAAGTAAAGAGGTCGATAATACTTTTATCGATGTGCTCGTGGAGTCGAACTTCCTCAGTGATTGAAAAGTCGATCGACCAAGCCAGTCAGTTTTAACTACACCCGTTAGTGTTGATAGCTGAGCATAAAGCTTATTTCAATTTACAAGAATTGGGCGAGAGGTTCGAATTTCTTCATAACAGTACTCTGTTTTCAGCTGGATGTTACGCAAACATGGGTTAAGACACTTCCTAATCCAATTTTCAGCCCCCGTTGCTGTTTGGGATGACATATTCGAGGTAAGAAAAGAAATTACAAAGTACAATGCTTGAATTGGTTACTATATGCTGCAAGGTGTTAGTGATAATTACATGGGATGAAATGAACAAGTTAAGTTGTCCTTAATGTTTGAGATAATGGCATTGATTAATATGTGAGTTAAAAAATGAGCGTTGAAGAAAAACAAGTTTTCAGTAAGGGATGAAATGTTGAATTCAAAATGTGATTATACATATTCCAATTTATAATATTCAATGTAATTAATTTTTTTTTTTTTTACTATATCTTGATCTGCATTTTATATGTAAGTTTATATGCAAATGTTATAACGTCTGTATATTGTTATTGATACATGCAATTAAACATTATTCATTAAAAAATATTCCAATAAATTTGTTTGCATAAACCAATTCTTACATTTGTTTTGCGCTGAAAAATAGTGTTTTATATATAGGGTCGTTTTATGTTATTTAAACCTAGTTTCTCATTTTCCTATACGTATAGTCAAATCCTTTTCCTGTGGCGTATCAACATTCTGATGACCCACGCTGGGGAGATTTATGATTTATGTTCGGAAACGTCTTTAGAGGCGACACCCGGATGAGGTGCAAGACTGAAATTCAACGAACGAGGGTGACTTGGTCATGGGAATGCACAAACTCAAGTGTTTTCAGATACATCGCACCATACTACACTACATCATCTATGCTCCACTGGAAATAACATTTTCCAGCCGTACATGTCCGTGTGATGCTTCATCTGAAGGGTCTGTTAACACTCAGGTTGATATCCTTATCCCGAGGTTTGAAAACCAAACACCTATCTGTATTCCTCGTCCTCCACGCAAACCAAGGGGCCTTCTTGTAAGGGATCGAGTAGTGATCCACGCGATTAGAATTTTGTTACTATTCGGCTGGACTTCTTGGTTGTAATTTTAATGTTTTTTCCATGATATGTTCAAAGTATCTATTTATTCACACTGCTTGTAATGGTATTAGTTTTTGGTAAAATGTATGGCAGATCGTGTCTGGGCCTATGTGTCTCCCATAAACTTCGTATATTTTGATGATATGCCGAAGCATATTCTTTGGTACGTTGGTCACTTATTTTAGCTAAATTTTAAGTTTTTCAATTAGCATCCTAAGAACAGTTATGTTAGTATGTTTTTATTGGTGTGAAAATAATTCTTCACTTCATGTGTAGTCAATGTTGGAAGAGTATGTGCAGGCAACACCAATCATTCACCTATACATTCTGAAATTTCTCACTCACTACATAAGTAGAACAAAAACGGTAAAATGATGCAACATTATAAACATGTGAACCACATTTGATGGGTACACATATATTTTTCATTACTGAAACTTCTAACATTTTACCGGCGAAACCAAATAACTTAGGGCCATCCCATCAGTACAACCGCACCAACTGCGAATATAGTTTACACACGGATTATCTTCATACCAATATTTTTCCACAAAAATATACAAACCTATCAAACATGACCTAATTACATTAATCAAACCAAAATACTAGTTGCAGGGTAGCAAAACACATTGAAAACAATTCACACATCATGGACTATATAATTACCGAGAACACATTAAAATAGATCAGTCGGAGTCAACACATGACTCTACATCAGTGTCCAACTCCATGGTCTCCGCATCATCATTGTCTAGGATATCGGTAACTTCGACATGAGT